TTTTTTTTTTACATGAGGATTAAGATTAAGCTATTCTAAAAACAATCGAAGTAGTCTCAAAACATTTTCCAATTTGAGTGTAAACTTGAGTACATGTAATTTTTCCAAAGAGTAAGATTGTTTTGAGATTCTCTTTGGATTTTAATAACCATTTTGTTTATCTTAAATTACTATACAAAAATTAACAGCTTAGGGATTCCCCACCCCCAACAAATGCTTTGCTATGGCAACATAATGTACACACACACAACCAGCTAGCTTGTACAGAGTAGGACAAATCAAGAGTGGGCACGACCAAAGGGAAAAACTAAAGCTTCCAATTTAAGCTCTTGTAACTACAATTTCTAGGACAGCTTTGAATCCCTAACAGTACTGTTAGTATCAGATGATAGAGTCAGAAACACGTTTTTGTCTGTACCTTTCCACAGACATTGAAATCAGTGGAAGAAACTGCATCTACAACTAGGATTAAAAGACCAAAACCAAAATACCTTCATAAACCTTTGATCACAAGTTTCTGTTTGTATGCTCCTGTTTACTTGATGTTTTACTTATTCTGATTTACTGAAACTCTTTATTTTGTTTAAGCTTGTCTACATTTTTACCTAATTAGGAACCTTCAAGTTAAACAGGTGGGTATTTTTGTTGATAACTCAGGAGATTTAGCTATTACCATGAGTCCAACAATATTAAATTTGCCTTACTTTCCAAAAATCTTACACATACTTATCATTTTATCTTTGGCTGGGTTTATACTTCTATAACCTTTGCGTCAAACCCTGACACCTTAAGAACATAAAAATGTCCAGTAAAACCCAGGCAAAAAATGTATGCTGACAATTTGAAAACATTTTTATTCATACTTTACCAGTAATATTTTCTATTTTAATAACCAGCTTATTTACCAAAGATTACTAAATTCACGTGAAGTAGAAAAGCATTTGGATTTGTTTAATTAATTTGTAAGTGCCCTTATTTAGAAACCAGTTTAGAACCATGTAGTCACAAACATATAATACATGTACACGCACAAAACATACCTAAACATAAACTCACATACACACAAAGTTCCAATAGCTTTTACCTCAGAACTCAAGCCATGAGATAGTAACATAAACTCACCAGTTTACGAAAGATGACTGCATCCAAATTGCTTCTGACAAAACTGGAAATTGTTTACCTGGGTAAACTTCAGTTGCCCTGATAATCTAATAACACCTGTGGATCAAACTTTTGGATAAAACAATTTCCATGGCAGTTTGATTTAAAAGAAAAACCTCACTTAGCCTTTTTTCTTCAGTTTAAAATGAGTTTTCCATGTTTATATTTTAGCTAGAACTGGCTGCAAGATCTCCGAGTAGCCTTCAAGCAGTAATGCCATAAACATTGAGTTTATCTCAACATCAGTAGGAAAAGTTAGCATGTTCAGAGTAGACAGAAAAGAAAATAGAGAGCTTAAGAGACTCAACATTTTAACTTTACGGTAGCAGGGTGAACATTTGAGCTCTGAATTTTCCTTGATGTAATTTGCCCTTCAGTTAAAACTTGTGCACAAGAATTGGCCATAACCAGCTAGAGTCCTAGAAAACCTGGCATGCCTTTGAACCTTTCCATTTACAAAAATATCTGCAAGTAGAGGCATCATAAACCAACTGAGGTGCCTGAAGGAGGTTTTTCTCCTTGTCTTTCCTCATTTTTAAAGGATTTGTTTCCCATTTTTCTTTAAAAGAAGCAACTGAACTGTAGTTTAGGATTTAGTGTAGTAAATTAGAGTACACTGATTGTAGGTGAGATTCCATGTTCACCACTGAGTCGTTTGCACCCTCTTAAACGTGTCAGTTTCTGTCTCTTCGGGGGTCTGCTAACTCTGAGAGGGCTCAAAACGCTGAGTGATGAGCTCTTCCATGCATTTTCTGGACCAGCCTTCTTTTAATTAATTTTGTTGGGGACTTCCCTATAGGCCACTTCACGCCTCAGGGAGTCACCCCAGACACTCCCGCTTAGGTCCCAGTCACCCAGGGGCACCTTTCAGCTGGGAGGAGTAAACTGCCCTTTCTCTTCAGAGCTGAGAAACTCAGTCTCTCACGTTTATCTACGAACAGGACAGTTTGGTTTACTCTTTTACAAATGTGCAGAAAAGCCAATTGAGATTAATTTTGGGAGGAAGAGGCAATAGAGAAGACCTTTTAGAATGTACTTCCAAATCAAAATTAATTTGTTGATCCCAAACAACAAATTCGTAGGAAAAGAACCAACAACTTAGAATAAACCAGGACCATCAACCAAGAACAGGGGCCCAACAGAATCTATGCCGGTACCTGGTGCGGAGTTCAGCCTACTCCTTTGGGAGGCCCTGAGTCTTCTAAGCCCCATCTTGTGTGCCATCTTGTCAATGGAAAAGATCCAAAACTCTGTAAAATAATTTAAAGAGGTTTATTCTGAGCTGAGTATGTGTGACCATGGCCCAAGAGCCATACTCAAAGCCTTGAGCAAGTGGTCTCCCCGTGGTTTGGTTGGAGTTTGGTTTTACGCATTTCAGGGAGACAGAAATTACACGTAAAGTTATAAATCAGTATGTGGAAGGCATACACTGGTTTGGCCCGAAAAGGCAGCACATCTCAAAGCAGAGAATTACAAGTTACAGGTGGGTTTAAAGATTCTTTGATTTGTAATTGTTTAAAGAAATGAAGCTTTCTCTAAAGCTTTAGAATGTTTTAAGATAAGGAAATCTGTTAATCCGAGACAAGTCACCAGACATACACCTGTAGGTGTGGTTTAAGCTTTGTCTTGTATAGCCTTAGGTCTGTTAATGAGTTATAAAGGATATTTCCAAGAAGGGAGGAAGACATGAGGAGGCATGTCTGACCTCCCTTCTCATGGCCAACAACTTGGCTTTAGGGTATTTGAGGGATCCCCTTGGCCAAGAGGATGTCCATTCAGTTGGCTGGGAGGCTTAAGGTTTTATGTTAGTTTACAGTGTAGTGGTCTTAAGGAAGATAGGTTTTTTTGTTTGGTTGTTTTGAGACGGAGTCTTGCTCTGTTGCCTGGGTTAGAGTGTCATGGCATGAGCCTAGCTCACAGCAACCTCACGCTCCTGGGCTCAAGCAATCCTCCTGCCTCAGCCTCCCAAATAACTGGCACTACAGGCATGCACCACCACACCCACCTAATTTTTTCTATTTTTAGTGTCTGGCTAATTTCTTTTTTGTTTTAGTGGAGACAGGGTCTCGCTCTTGCTTAGGCTGGTCTCAAACTCCTGACCTCAAGCGATCTTCCCAGAGTGCTAGGATTATAGGCGTGAGCCACCACACCGGGCCAGGAGATAGGTTTTTCAAGACCAGAGTGACACTGTTGCCAGGCCTGGTGGCTCACGCCTGTAATCCTAGCACTACTGGGAGGTACAGGTGGGAGGATGGCTGGAGCTCAGAAGTTATCTCCTGAGCTTATCTCCACTAACAATGAAAAAAATGAACTGTGTGGTGGTACATGCCTGTAGTTCCAGCTACTTGGGAGGCTGAGGCAGGAAGATTGCTTAAGCCCAGGAGTTTGAGGTTACTGTTAGCTAGGCTGACACACCACTGCACTCTAGCCTGGGCAACAGCAAGATACTTTCTAAAAAAAAAAAGAGTGACATTGTCATGCACAAAATGGCAGCAAGATCACAAAACTCAGGAATGAGTAACACCTAAGTTAAAAGTCAAGGTTGTTAAAGGCCTATATTGAAGCTGAGTAACTTGATCCTTAAGATCCATTCAAATAAAAGGAACTTAAACATTAAAGAAAGAAAAGTAGGCTACTTGGGAGGCTGAAGTAGGAGAATAGCTTGAGCCCAGGAGTTTGGAGGTTGCAGTGAGCTGTGATTGTGCACTGTTCTCTAGCCTGGGTGACAAAGCAGGACCCTGTCTCTTTTAAAAAAAGAGAGAGAAAAGAATGATGGTGAAACATGTTCACTCTCCCAACAACTTCAATAGAAAAGAAAGCAGTAAAACCAGCAGCAGCAGTGAGTGATTCTGTTGTGAAGATCTTGGATGTTTTGTATTTCTACAGAATATGCGTTCCTGGGGGTTTCTTGCCATCCATTTGGAAGAGAGTCTTAACTTTAGATATTTGGAGCTCTGCAGTAAGGTTGTCTCTGCAAACCTGTGAGAAATGCAGGTTTTAGGAAATTTTTGGTACAAATGAGCAGAGTAGAAAAAAGGGGAAAGAGCCTAGAAGAATATAGACTAGTGCTGATTCCACCACAGTAAACTACACAATGTTGGCTGCTAAACTCAGATCTCCCTAGATGTTTCCCCTTAACAGCCTCATCTACTTATTTTCTTGGTCTCTGTGCTAACTGTTCAGTGTCCTTAAGAACACTATGAATCCCCTTCATCCCTGGCATTGCCAGCCTTCCCCCATCATTTGTGTTCTGTTTGCTGCCCTTTTTTTTTTTTAGAGACAGAGTCTCACTGTCTTGCCTGGGCTAGAGTGTTGTGGCATAACTCCCAGCAACCTCAAACTCCTGGGCTCAAGCAATCCTCCTGCCTCAGCCTCCCGGGTAGCTAGGACTACAGGCATACACCACCATGCCCGGCTAATTTCTTTCTATTTTTAGTAGAGACGGGGTCTCGCTCTTGCTCAGGCTGGTCTCGAACTCCTGACCTCAAGCAATCCACCCACCTTGGCCTCCCAGAGTGCTAGCATTACAAGGCGTGAGCCACCGCGCTCAGCCTGCCTTTTGTTTTTATTTCACTTTCTCTACCCACTTTTTAAGGTCGTTTTGTCATTTGGCAATGCTGCTTGTATCCATTTTGGTTCCCACTTTTTTTGCCCACACTTTTATATGTGTCTTTTTCTTTGAAAGTTTAAGAGGAAAAATTTGCACTGGCAATCTTTTCATACTAGGAGGCTGGGTCCCAAACTAAAGAATCAGCCCTATGGTAGAACATCTGTGAAGACTTCCTGTTCTATAACAGTGAAGGTATTAACAGAGTACACTTCATTGTTTTTTACCCTAGAAGTGTGGAAGGCTGATGACCAGATGGAGAGGGACCACAGAAACCCAGAGGAGCATGCGAGGCAATTTGTAATCCTTAAGAACCAAACTCCAATTGAGGAAAGAGGTAGTATCTTTGAAAAAACACTTAATCTGAATACAGACTTTGTTTCTTTAAGACAAGTACCCTATAAATATGACTTATATGAAAAAACTTTGAAATATAATTCAGACTTACATAATAGTAATAGAACCTATGCAAGAAAGAAAGCTGATGACTGCAATGGATTTGGAAAAGCATTCCTCTATCTCAAGCAAGAGAAAACCCATCCTGAAGTAGAATACTCTGAATATAATAAAAGTGGAACAGGCTTCGGCCATAAAGAAGCCATTTTTAAACATCAGAAAATTAAAAATTTGGTTCAACCTTTTATTTGTAATTACTGTGACAAGGCCTTCTCCTTTAAGTCACTCCTTATTAGTCATAAGAGAATACATACTGGAGAAAAACCATATGAATGTAACGTATGTAAGAAAACCTTCTCCCATAAGGCAAACCTCATCAAACATCAGAGAATTCATACTGGGGAGAAACCCTTTGAATGTCCTGAATGTGGAAAAGCTTTCACTCACCAGTCAAACCTCATTGTACACCAGAGAGCACATATGGAGAAGAAGCCCTACGAATGCAGTGAATGTGGAAAGACATTTGCCCAGAAGTTTGAACTCACTACACACCAGAGAATTCATACAGGAGAGCGACCCTATGAGTGTAATGAGTGTGCAAAAACCTTCTTCAAGAAATCAAACCTCATTATACATCAGAAAATTCATACAGGGGAGAAACGCTATGAGTGCAGCGAATGTGGAAAATCCTTTATCCAGAACTCACAACTTATCATACATATGAGAACTCATACAGGAGAGAAACCCTACGAATGTACTGAATGTGGCAAAACTTTCAGCCAGAGGTCAACTCTTAGGTTACATTTGCGAATCCATACGGGTGAGAAACCATATGAGTGTTCTGAATGTGGGAAGGCGTTCAGCAGGAAGTCCCGACTCAGTGTCCACCAGAGAGTTCATTTAGGGGAGAAACCCTGAGACTGTACCTAGGTTGTACTGTGGAAAACCCTCCCACCAGAACCCTTCCAACCAGGGAGAAACCTTATGAAGGTATTGAAGGAACACAGGAATTCATACTGAGATACAATCTCAACTCAAATGTATAAAAAATAGGATCCCATAAGAACATTATACGGGAAGTTACATTTGATACCTAGCTAAAGAATACATGTGAGAATGTATCCAATTGTAAATAGACATACTCAGCTGTATTACAATGAGCTTTTTAAAATCTTGAATGAATTGAATATTCTAAGCAGCAGCATAAAGGATATACAGTTTCCTAAGAATTTAGTGGTTATGTGCAAGCATGCCACAGAACCCAAGTTGTATGTTTTAGATCTGTACATGTGAATTTAGCATAATCACTGGGAGTTTGAAATTCTTGTCCTCTGTGATAAATTAGGACATATCAAACAATTTTCCATACTAAACATCACATGTGTTTTTTCAGTACCTCTACAATCCAGTATGCATTCCAAATGAAATACAAAACAGATTTTTAAAGTAGCATGTAACCTGTCTTTTCCTACTGCTTGCTGGCATATATATGTTGGTATGACCATTGTTACTGAGCTCCCTCTTCACTAAACAGAAGTCAGTGTTGAAGTTTTACTTGCTTCTGGTTTGCGGAAGATTTTCTAGAAGCATTATTTACGTAAATATCCAAGTGTGAGATAATTAAGAGGTGATGGAGAGAGTGAGAGAAAGCAGATGTGGGCTGTACTACTCGGTATGCCCACAGAATAAGGATTTACCATGTAAAGACAACATCCCCACGCATCATGCTCTTGTTATTTTTCAGCAGGGTATTTACATACAAATGCATGTCTATTACCAAAATATTGTATAACCTAGGAACTACCTGTTTTTATTTGTGTTTCCCTGTTTCTCTTAATATTTTATGAACTGTCTTGCAAAAAAATGATAGGATGCTTATATAGCTCAAAAATGTTAGAGGAAAAATAATTTATTTTAAGAGACTGTCAAGAACCATTTTTCATTGCTTAAGATTTTCCGTATTTGGAAATGAACTTTTGCAGTATTCTGTTGTTTAGTGGAGGCATTTCTACTTCCTTGAGTTTCACTATTGTCAACCTAAAACATTTCCCTTTGGAACGTAAGTTACCGTAAGTTATTACCTTTCCTTTCCATGTTCCCACTGTGTAAGTTAGACTTCACAGTGGTGTCTCCATATATTGTTTGATAATTAAATTATTTTTTCATAGCTCAAAGATACGCCATTTTAGGCTCAATTTCAAATTCACAAGTTCAGCCTTTCCCTATCAATCATGCATTAGAATTATAAATGGCAACCAAAACTGCCCTTTTATTCCTTTACTAGTTATTCTGAAGATCACCGGTGTGCTGTGACTATATGAATGTGAGTGACTTTCCAAACAAATTTACCATAACATCCGTAGCCCAATAAATTTCTTTTTGTAAGTTATCATCTTACCTACTAACAACAAAAGCAGCAGGGGAAAAAGTTAATTTCATACACTGCTGTTGAAATGTAAATTGTGACAGCCTCCCTGGGAAACATTGTGACTCAGTGTTTTAACGTTCATGTCTATACTCTTCAACCCAGGAATCTCCTGGGAATCTATCCCTAAGGAAAAAATAAAGTGCCAGAACTTAAGATTATATGTTTATCAATGTATATTGTAGTATTTTTTGGTAAGGACCTCAAAAAAAGAAAAAGGGGGAAAAAGACCATCAGTAAGGGAATGGTTGAATAAATTGTTGTAAAAACATACCATGGCTGAATGGTATTCCATTGAAAAGAATGTGTGGGAGCAAATTCCTCCAGGTCAGATGAGGAAAGCAAAAGTTGAGAGAGAGAGAGAATATGTATGTGTGTGTATGGCAATTTTTATAAAATAAACATGGAAACAACCTTGTATATGTGTGTACTTGCATATGATTTTATGGGCTTGGAGAACAGCATTCCTTCCATTTTTAACCTCTGGTACTCAATTGCTGTATCAGTGAGGATTCCAGCAGGAAACTGAAGTAGTCCCGTATTCTTCATATGAAAGGACTACTAACAGAGATGAGAGAGGGGTTAAGGGAACAAACAAAGGATGATCCATAGACCAGCAGCACCAGGGAGCTGTTGGCTCCCTAAGGCTGAAGTGATAAAACTAGAAAACAGTGTTTCGGGAGCCCAGTGAGAGCCAAAAATCTTGCAAGAGGGTCTTCCAAGTGCGTGTTGAAGCCCTACAAAGATGCAGCTACTGTGAGAAACACAGATCCAAAGCAGGGAGGGGAGAAGCCTCACCTCTTTGCTGCTCAGTCTCCTGCAGATGCCCCCATTGACTGACACTGACCAGAAGCCCAGGTGATGCTGTCATTGTGGGATAAAGCAGGGCAGAGAAGGATGGAGAGTGGACCCAGAGGGCAAACAGCACAATCAGCAAATCCATCATCTCAACCTCTCAACCTTGCTGCTCCGACTGAAATGAGGCTTTCCCAGAAGGACCCTACTTCCCCTATTGTAGTCATCTTGAGTAGTAGCTGTTTTCTGTCATGTCCCTTAAGCCTTTAGAGGTAGGATGACTCTGTAAAACCCAATTTCAGAGAAAATGTTAATTGGGGAGTTATCGCATGGACAGTAGTTTAAACCATAAGATAGATGAGATTACTTAGAAGAAGACTATAAAGAAGAATTTCAAGGACAGAGTACTGAACACTCACCCCAGTGTTTAGAGGGGATGAGGAGAAATCAGAAAAGGGGACTGAGAAGGAACAACCAGGGTTAGGATGAAAACCAGGGAAGGGTGTTAGCCCGGAGCCAAGTGAAGAAGTATTGCTAAGTAGAGGGAGTCATCACAGTATTAAATACTAATAGGTAGAGAAGGGTATGCACTGAGATTAACCATCAGTGAGGTCATTTTGATAACAGTTTCAAAGAAATGGTCAGGGAAAATCTAGGAAGATTCAAGACCAA